GTGGGGGAAGTGCTTCAGAATAAGATTCCTGCAATGTCAAACGCGGATCATTGCCGCCCCCTAACGGGAACGCTTCCCTGCGTGTTCGTGGTCCACACGCTGCGCGTTGCAATCCAGACAGGGGCTGCCCCGTTCCATCTCTCCATGCAATGGGCCAGTTGAACTGATGGGGTGGCACGTGTTCTCAACTCCTCCGACCTCTCTGTGTCTGCCCAGCAGTGTAGAACGTGCACACACAGAGTGCGTATCGGCAGCTCACACGTGGTGGAGTATAAACGCGTGGGGGGGGGGTGGTGTCTACTCCCCACATTTTTTTCTAGATTTGAAGCTTTCGTGACTGCAAGGATTCATATTCTTCGGTTTTTTTCGGTAAAGTCACGTAGGTTAAAAAAAATTAATGAAAGTAAAATAAAAATTAAATAAAAATCACGACGTTTCGGAGGCAACACACCTGAAGACGGAAGCTTGTGTTGTCTCCGAAACGTCGTGATTTTTATAGTTTTTTTTATTTTTATTGTTTTACCTACGTGACTTTACCGAAAAAACCTAAGAATATGAATCCCCACATTTCCCCAAGACGTCTGGCCAACGTGGAAGAGTAGACCAAATACTACTCGCGAGCGCCCTCTCGCGGGCCTTCCGCCGCCAGCAGTGACGTGAGCGAGCGGGGGCTGCAGTTTTTTGTTTTCGTTTCATCTTAAGGGGCCGTCCATAAATGACGTCACGCACCTGGGGGGGTGGGGGGGTCAGACATTTGTGACGATGTGTGACGAGGGGGGGGGGGGTGAGAAATGTGACGTCACATCAAAATGCGCAACTTTAAATCAATATAGACAACACGTTCTACTTAATTAAATAGACTTTTCAATAATTGTTTTCTTCTACAACATCAGAGTGCAGCGCCACATAAAATACGCACTACAATGACAATAGTTTAAAGCGATTTGAAGCATGTTTTATTTTGGGGGGGAGGGGGCAGAGCTTTGTGACGTCATATTTGAGGGGCGGGGTCTGACTTGTGATCGCGTGACGTCATTTATGGACGGTCCCTTACACCCGCGATTTTGTAACGTGTAACCTCGTACGGAGGAGTTCCATGGGGGACTTTCGAGGGTTCGCGTGCCAGTGAACTCGAGTAAAGGTCACACGGGCACAGCCTGGCAGAGACGCCGCAGCAGCAGCCACCGAACTCGCGTTCTTCTTGACACCCACCGACTCATTCTTGTGCGCGACTGCGCCTGTTTGAGTTGTCCATTGGGATTGCCCTGGGGTGGTGCAGTGCGAGGCGAGGTTGCGATGGGAGTGCAGGATGGAGGACGGGGGAGAAGCAACGTGGAGGGCAGGTGACCACGAAGAGCATTCAATGCGTCTGGATAGTGTGTGAACAATGCTGCATTATTCTCGTAGCAAAAGTAGCTACACGTGTAGTATGTAGTAGCTACTACACATGTAGTAGCTACTACATATGGAGTAGCTACGGGTCCCGCACTTTCAAGGGCCCCGCGCTAAATGCTTCCAAGCTATCAATTGTGGTTCGGTGATTGTGCACTTGCTCGATTACTGTAGTACTACACTGCCTTCAACTTTGATGAACGACTGGGTGTTTAAAGTTAGCAATTTGTCGCATTATCTGGCTGTATAGAAAATGAAAAACTACAATTTACTATGCAAGGTAAAAATTTGTGTTTTAATATGTATGTGTTTTTTGTTATTTTATTTAGGGCCCCTTTATACCATATGCCACAGGCCCCGCACTAACTTCATCCGGCACTGTGTGTAAGGGTCGGGTAAAATCCCCAGCCTACATGAAAATTTGGGCCCAGCGTTCTAGCCACATTGCCAAGGTTGCCTCAACGTTGGCAATGTGTTACTAGCATATCCTCTCGATCAGTAGTTCTTAACCTTTACTCCAGCCTTGCACCCCCCTTTAGTTCGCAATCGTTAAAACACGTATTATGGTAATAAGTGCATAGATTAGATTTTTTTTAATGTAGTTGTAACTTACGTGTCCGCGCTTAATTTTTATTTCGATGATTTATTTACCTGCTGAAAAATATCGTGCCATGTCTCGCACCCCTAGAAAAGGGCATCTCGCACTCCCAGGGGGTGCGAGGTGCACCCAGGATAAGAAGAACCACTGCTCTAGAGGGGCTCTATTGAGCTCCCTCTCTTAGATGTATGTCTGTTGAACTTCTTTCGCTCCGTACGTAGCCAACCGTGCTAATCGTGAGCAATTTCAGGGCTGCACCTTTAACGCTGTTTGTACTGCTCCCAAGAGAAAGCCAGTGGTCCACATTAAAGAGCAAACAATAGAGTAATTTTAATGCTAAATTGAGCCAGCGATTTTAAACATCAAGATGCCCTTTAAAGTTAATATATATCCCAAGGACTGAATAAACAAAGTTTAGTTTGAATATCATTAGTGCAAGTTCAACTGTTATTTCAGCCTCTTGGCACGTGCAGAATTTAGATACTAACGAAATACAAAAGTAAAATCCCAAACGACTTTGAGCAAAAATTAATTGTGACAGTATCAACATTATTATTATTATTTTGACTGCGGTCTGCATTCAAATCAGGGCCAATTGCTTCCCCCCCCCCCTCCGCGAGTGTTTTGATGAATATTGATAAATATGAATCTGCACATAGAGTGCATTGATTGATGTCAAACAAAGGGGCTAATGAGATTATCATTTTTACGAGTGACTATTATGAATGTTGTGGGTATGTGTGTACATGTGTGTGTGTGAGCGGTAGAACCTGCAATCGAAACGTCGTGATTTTATTTATTTTAGTTTATACCTACGTGACTTTACCGAGAGAACTAGAGTATATAACCATACAATTCATCATCAGTTTCCACCGAGCTCAACTTTTACTGCAGTACAGTATTTCGTTTCCTATCGTTGTACAGTACTTCCGCTGCCACAATGGACATATCCACATTGGCATCGCTTTTCGATATTGTTCATTGTTCAGTGGTAAATCACTTGTGCCAAAATCTGAACAATGGGCTTTCTTACTCGGGTTGCCGCGTTTTCGCCGTGCAGCTTCTTCCAAATGCGTTTTCGGGTTAAAATGCCGGATACGTGGAGCAAAGAAAGCATCGAACAATATGCCGAACAGAATCGAGAATATTCATTTATACCGGAGGAATCCGATGAGCTATGAAGCGCTTTTTGAACACCACGTGCTAACGACCCGAGCACACATCAGAAAGGGATATAGGTTACATCACAGAATGATTCACTGTTTACTTGCCAGTTCATATGATGGGGAATTAAGCACCCATGTTGATTTGAGTGTTGTGTGATGCAGCGGCATATAAGAGCCATGTTCTCTGTTGTTGTTTTGCAATAGCGAGCCCTCGTTTGGGCAGATTAACCAACTTTTTTTTCCATTCTTCCATAGAACTTGGCGATGGGTAAACGAAAAATAGATTGATATCTCGGTATACCGGACATAAACATTTTGTTTTGAATGTTGGAAAAAAAATTGTTAAAATAAAATATTACAAATCATGCTTCGACAATTGTTTACAGTACGTCGGAGATTGCAGTTGAGCATTGACCTGTGCCGTTCTGTACTCTCTAGTAAGTTATGTTCTACTTTGAGATGTATCCACACAAGTTCGTGTCGACCCTGCAACAAAAGCCTCCCAGGTAAAGCGTCTAACGTTGGACCAACGTTGTTGACATGTGGGTTGGGATTGTTGGCACGTTGGTTATTTGGTTCACCGTCCCACGTTTACCGAGCTTCTGCCTTCTTAGATATATAGCTGTTATTAATTATTCATTGTTTTAGTCGGTAATACGAAATGTATTTTGAATGGTTGCATTTCTCTTTAATGGGAAAAGTAAAAAAAGCCCGCATGTGTTCTTTAAAAAGTTTGCTATATCGATGCTCTTAGAAGGTCTCATCCCAACTTTAGGTGATTCGCTTGGATTTGTTGCCAGGATACAACCATCCATAAGAGGTTTTTGGGGTTAAATCGCGTAAATGTGTCAATAAACCTGCCACCAACCGACATCCAATTAGTAAGGTTTGTCACGTAAATAGAGCATGCCAATTCGTTACGAGTACAGCCCACTGGTGTGTTGAGCAAATCCGTGTTAAAAAGGACACAACCAATCAGGGTAAATGCTAAGAATGATTGTGTAATTTAACGGTATTTTACAGTCTGCATTTTATTTTTAAAAATGCGATTTTGTTTTTGTAAGCATAAACAATTATTTACATTGGTGTGTAGTATTTCCACCGTGTTTTTTTTTTTAAACCGGCGATACTGCTTCTGGCAGTGATATAATTCTGTAAATGCCGATACAAATCCATGACAGATTAAGTGCGTGCTGGAGAAAGCCCACCCGTTTCAAACAACGCGCAAACACGTGCGTAAAAAATACTAGGATTGATTTTGCGCATTATGCAGAAGCATTTTTTACGGTCGTCTGAAACGCTCTTCCTTCCGATATTAGGAAGCCACTGGAGCTTAGCACCTTTAAATCTAGATTGGAAACTTAATTTCATTACAACTGCTTTGTATTTTGTTTGTTGTCCTTCCCCCGGCACCTCCAATTACCACGGTTGGCTTATGCACCGTGTGAAAGTTCAACAAACATACAACATGCATGTTGTATGGGACTGCGAGCTCGTACTATGGGCTGGCTCAGCCGTGTTGTTTTTTGTTCTTCACATTTTACAGGGACAATAACATTCCTGAAGCCCAGCAGAAAACATTTTCGGCTTTCCACCTCCAGGGAATGATTCAGATTAAATTGAAGAGCAAATTTGTAATTACACTGTAAATATTTCAAGTATTTAAGTGTTAATTTTCTATGTAAATATGAATATAATGTAAACGTGAATTTACTCATTATTTGCAGTATCCAAGTCATCCCCCAATGAAGGCTATCCCCACTATTTATTCTGCCTTCAAGATATATCACTGCTTTAGAACTTGCATAAAATGAAATGTTGAACATTATCAAACGATTACAAGATTGTTTTAAACCATTTCCCAATTTTATTACATCACTATGTACAAGCCAGTAGAAGAGTAAATGTAACTTGCAATGAACACACGGCGAGTATCTGGCATTGCTGCAGATACATGTTGCAAGTGTCAGTCCACTTTTCCAACAAAATAAATGCAGAGTTCAGAACCAAAGACTGCCGCACGATATGCCTAAAACGTACGGAACACAACCAAGCAGGCACTGTACAAGTTTCTAATAGACAGGGGCTCAGAACAAGTTCACATCTACAACACAAACACATGTAGAGAATGCAGCATCGGTTTACACGTTTGATACTTTCCATTGCCTTAAAGGTTGGAGCAGAGTTTTGAAAGCCATGTCAAAGCAGAATACTCATTGGATTTCACAGTATCCAAATATCTTACATGAAACATTATCTATTTTTGTTTATTATCATTATTATACAACCCAACTGTGTAGCGTTAGTGAAACACGACAAATGCAACTCTTCCACGTGTTTTAAAATAAAAACTCTTATTTTCAATAAACTTGAAAGTAATATTACATAATTTAAACAAAACAATAGTGATATTTAAAAACCTCTATGAGACAGCGAGGGAAAAAAATCAAAATACACAGGCATACAGCATTTCAGATAAACTGAAAGAAATCATTTACTCTTATTAAAACCCTATTTTAAATGTTGTCAAATAAATTTGCCTTCTCGAGAAATGTATCCGCCTTAGTTCAACTAAGCCAAGATGCTGCAACACCTCTACACATTACATTTGTCTAATATTTGGTCTGATTCACTGCTGTATGGAAGGACCAGATGAAACACACAATAAGAACATTAACCTTAATTTATACTGTGACATGTTAAAATATCTACCCCCGTGTTTAAAGTTAGTATGTTATGTTACACAGAAAAAAACTTAGGTAATTACTATGTAATGTAGATTTTTTTTAAAGTATTTTTTTGGTATTAACAAAAATAACAAAGTCAACATGGTGTTTCATGATCAGTGGTTCTTTAAGTATGCAGAAAAATAAGTTTGTAGTCATGAAATATCAGGAATAATCCATATAATTACTTCCCAAGTGTTCACTTCTTACACAGCACATTTCCAACTGTTGAGCCCAAACCTTTGTTAAATAGTTAATAATTTAAGTTAATATTTTTAAACAGCCGAACTGGAAGCATTTAAAACTGCAACACATGCTAACAGCACTTTTTTCTTGCTTAAGGTGATGAACATGTATTGGGATTGCAGGATTTTTCTTCTAATCCATTTAGGAAAAGTGATGAGGTTTAAAAACATTTCACAAGCAGTTTTCTAACACACTTTTGCATCGGGAAAGCTGAACGCATTTTTCCTAGCAGAAAATGTTGAATGATGTAGTTAAATATTTGTTTACATACATTAAATTGGCTGCATTATTCAATAATCAATAGGTTGATTAACTTTACCAATGAATTTAGAGAATTAATAGCCCTAAATAACATTGACGCGGACAAAGCTCATAGTAACCCATAACGGTACATAGGATACCAAGTGAAGAGACATTACAACTAGCATAGTCCAGTGAGGTGTGCACAAAAACAGGGATATCCAGGAACAATGAATTCTACATTCGCAAAACACTAACTAGCTGCATTGTGATTGGGATCTCCAGAGGCCGTGTGTGAATAAATGAATTTTGCACAGACTTATTGCACAGGGAATAGATTGGGATGACGGGAAAGAGGAAGGCCTTTTCCTGGTACTGATTTCTCTTGAAAGACACCGAGGGACAATTCAGTCGATGTACATGGGCGAGACAGGAGAAGGAGGCATCCGATCCAGGGTCTTGCAGAAATACACAGCCACATCCACGTTGCGGCTCTCGTACATCAGAATGAACGGATGTTTCTGCAGTGGTACGGATAAAAAACGTGTCAATGCCTTTCGAGAAAGCCACAAAATCCAAAACGGAAATTAACAAGAGTTCTTCTTGGTTCTTTCGGTAAAGTCACGTATTTTTATTATTTTATTATTTCCCTTCTACGTGACTTTACCGAAAGAACCAAGAAGATGAATCCCTGCAGTCACGAAAGCTTTACATCGAAACCTAACAAGAGTTATTTTTAACTTACCAGCAGCTCTCTGTATTTTGGTCTTCGTGATTCGTCCTTGGTAAGGCTTTAAAAAAGAAACAAGTTTAATAATTAATGAAGATTGTATATTAGCTACATGTAACAAACAAAAAAGTTCTAAGAATAGCGGCCACTGAAGGTACGAATAAAGTCACGAGTTCAATGAAAGGTAACGGTGAAACCCACGTAAATGTATTACACCACTGCTGGAGGAAGGCCCCCCCCCCCATGAGAGGGAGCTCTATACAGCCCCCTCGAGAAGGCATTTGGCCTACTCCGACACATTGGCCAGACATCTTGAAAAAGGAGGTGGGGGTACCCACACTTTAACCCCACCATTTGCGAGATGGTGATCGACTGTGTAATGGTACAAAGCAGCAGGTAAGAGAATGTAAGAGAGCGAGTGAGTGAGCATCTTGATTTACCAGCTGTTGACAAAGTTGATGAAGCTAGCCGAGAACTGTCGTTCCTCAGAGTTACATAGCTGTGGGGGATCTCCCTTGACCACTTGGGTCAACTGGTCAAACACGCTGTTCCATTTCGGGTAGGGAAACTTCCCTGTCGCCAGTTCAATCTGTCCGTCACCACAGGAAATAACCGTTAGCCAAAGAAGTGTGTACATCGTAACCTGAAACTGTATTAACTGTTAGAATGATCGATGTTTCAAAAACCCATTTGAGTGGTTTAAACTGTTTGAGCTTCGTGTAAATCGGATAGTTTGGAGTGCATCTTCTTGGTTCTTTCGGTAAAGTCACATAGAATGGAAATAATAAAATAATTCTCACGACGTTTCGGCCACAACGCAAGCAGCCGTCCTCAGGTGAAGAACAGGTCTGTCGAGAAGACAGAAAACAGACCTGTTCTTCACCTGAGGACGGCTGCTTGCGTTGTGGCCGAAACGTCGTGAGAATTATTCTATGTTTTGTTTTTATTATTTTATTATTTCCATTCTACATGACTTTACTGAAAGAACCAAGAAGATGAATCCCTGCAGTCACGAAAGCTTTAAATCGAAGTTTGGAGTGCGTTGGATAGGTTGAATGGCACATACATGTATATTGAAATGCTTTCATATTTAGTGAAAATCTGTGTAATTCTATAAGCTGTGGATTACATAACATTCGAAAATGAAATGTTTTATAAGTTAAAGCTATGCGAATGTGAAATAAGTCTACATAAAAAAACTTAAATTTCTAAAACGCACGTGAATTTTTGCATTATGTACATTTGACTTAAATCATGCTATCTAGTAAAGTGGCTTAAATGGCAACACAAATCTCGATAATGATGCACAAATAAAGATGTTGACTCTTTTGTAAGCAACGTTTTAATCTTTCCTCTGGTTTTTTTATAGGCTTTATTTAAAAATAAAATATTTTGTTCAAGATAACAACGTTGACACCAACATGTACATGGACTTACCAATGTTATACCTAAACTCCAAACATCTGAGCGAACATCGTAGCCTTGTCTTGATGCGCTTGGATCGATTCTTTCAGGCTGAAATGTGCAGAAAATATTTGACATAACATGCGATACCAATATGTTAATTTTAAAACAATAGATACAACTGGGGAATGTTGTGCTCAGCACACACCGAGCTCCTACTATGACCTCACCCAGTAAGCAGTCAAGTGAAATGAATGGCAATTCCAGGCATGCCTAAACGCTGAGCTTACCAGCTCTTAACTGCCCTATCCTGACGTCACCCACCAGGGAAAATACCTATATAATCCAAGATTAGGGTATGATGTCACCATTGATGACGTTAGCTTGGAACCTTGGGACTGGAAGTCTAAACTTAGCACATTACATCAGTGCTTGTACAAGAGTTCAACAGGGCAGAGCATCCAGACATGTAATTAATCACAAGTGACATCAGATGATAGAGTAATAAGAATTCTAAAGGCGAAATACCTTGGCGAAATGTCACCACTTTACAAAAAATGAAATCTCTTTTGAGGTAATTAAACACTAATGTTAATACGTAATGTTTAGGGTCATTTTACTGCGAATGTTCTTCCCACAAAAGGAAAATGTGAGTTCTGACCAGTAATCTATTTTTAGACTTAAAATCTATTTTTTTAAGATGACTTGAGCACAATTATTTTGTTATCAACTGTGGATAATAAGCATTTTATAAAGTAAATCCACCAACGATTATTATTACCTAGCAATGTGACAACATTTCAAGAGACTTGCTCCAACCAAAACGGTAAGTAAATTATAAGACCATTAAGACAATTTACATGTTAGTATGTTGTATAACCTCACAATAATCAAAGCCAACAATAGTCTTTGTCATAACCATGAATACGTTTAAAAAAGCATTTCAGTAGTTCTTTAAATGTAGATATTAATTTTGCATGCATTGTTCACATGCATTATGCTTAAATGTTTGTTTTATTAATTCTACAAAATAATACTACACAATCGTGCTATTATTCAGGTGCAGGGGCATATTATGTATTGTGGTAATCCCTGAGCGATGTATCTATTATATAAATAAAATCATGACATAGTAAGTTTGTTTAACATTTGACTTTCATTGGACATTTATGGTTATCCTAGCCCCGAAGTGAAACGTTATTCCGAGCAATCCACGTTAACTCATACCAGTATACTATTTAGTTCTTTCGGTAAAGTCACGTAGATGAAAAATAAAAATGAAAACAACTAAATTAAATCACGACGTTTCGGCAACAAAATTACTATAGTGCTCACTACAGTAATTTTGCTGTGGCTGTTCCACCTGATGACGGAAGCTTGTGTTGCCTCCGAAACGTCGTGATTTAATTTAGTTATTTTGATTTTTTTTTTATTCATCTACGTGACTTTACCGAAAGAACCAAAGAGTATGGATCCTTGCAGTCACGAAAACTTCAAATCTAGAATCATACCAGTATTTCAATCTCTTGACTTTACTGTATCCATTAACACTGCCACTGGATGACACCAGTGGCCTAAATACCAAAGACGACAAGGGAATGTTATTCATGTGCATGGACTCCCTCCACATGGATTCATTCAACTAATCTTAACTAGTTTGATGTCATATTTTTCGATTTTGACCACAAGTATTGTGGTTAATGCAGACACGATTCCTTGTAAAAGGTTTCAGTTTGGTGTTTTAACATCTTAACACCAGTTTTGTTGCCAGATAAAAGGGGAAAAACCTATTCTCATATTTTGGTGCTGGCAAAGGAGGCCCCATGATGATGTGTGGTTAGATGTATGTACTCAAGTCAAACTCGCTACATGTAAAGTATGTTTTATTATGACTCACAGCCATGTAGGGTCTGCAGCCTGCATCTCTTGTCTTGGCTATGGAATCCACCAGCTGCCCACTGATGCCAAAATCGCACAGCTTGATGTTGCCTCTGCGGTCGAGAAGGATGTTTGAAGGTTTGACATCTACGGCGAGAAAGGGACATATACAAAAAATGTGATTAAAAGATTCAGCAATGATAAAAACAAATTACGTCAAATCACTCGATTTGTAATTTTTTCCTGTTTACAAACTTCTGAAAAATATTATCAGCGATAATGCTGTATTTATATGTAAACCAAACATCTGAATGTAACCCTAAAGTGATTTTCATTAGGTAATTCAAAGTGTTAAACAGAAATATTCTAAATGCCCATATGAAAAAAAGCTATGGTTCCTTTACGCTTTACCATAGAGAAATGTTATAAGACTACGTGTTAAAACTGCTTTACGCTGTTTATTGGTTTATTGATGTGAACCAAGCGAACAATGTTCTGCATCAGCAGTATAATATCTGACAGCAATCCCTTTTCAATGTATGAATATTTTATATAACACATCAAACATGTAATCTCATCTGAATAGATGTGTGACTATGTGACCTTAAAGGCCACAATAGAATGTTACATTCTAATGGAGCACAAGTGACAGAAATGTACTAACTAGTGTTAATTAACACTTGATTAACAAAAATGTGCAAACAATTATAAATCAAGCCACACACTATTAAATGCATATTATATTTTCAAGGGGAAAAAAACATTAAATAACTATTCACATTGGCAGAGAAATATTGGAAAAATTATATTACATACCACATACGTTGATTTTCCTTGTACTGTATATATGCGTAATTATTGACATTTCCAGACACGTCATTTTTTATTCCTAAGCATTTTTTGTTTCAAATGGTTCGTTACAAACATGCATCAGAAGAGGAATAAAGATTATCAAACCTCTGTGAATGATCTTCAGATTCTCCTTCAGGTAGTTGAGTGCTTTTACAGTCTACAGAGAGGATAAAAACATTTACATTTTTACTAAATTGTGAAAATGGAATATGTACAAACTTACTTAAAAAAAAGTAACATGTCAATCATGTTACCCACGTAAAATAGGAAATACATTTGATGTATAATCTTTGGTTCTTTCGGTAAAGTCACGTAGACAGAAAAATAATAATAAATAAAACGAATAAAAATATAAATTATAAAAATTAAATTAAAATAACAACACAAAAAAACACTAATGTAGACTGTAGTCTGGTTCTTAATCGGAGTGAGCGTACTGGCAGTCTATAATGTAGACTTATTATTGGTTCTTTCAAGAATTAAAATAAAATAAAACAATAACCACGATGTTTCGATCGAAACACAAGCGGTCGTCATCAGGAAAAGAGGGGGTAGCCTCTAAAGGCAAACTGTTTATAAGGGTTTAGAGATGAGCATAGCCCAAGTGTTCACAAGCTTAAAAACCAGGCTACAGTCTACATTATAGACTACCAGTACACTCGCCAAACTTAATAACCAGGCTACAGTCTAAGTCTACATTAGTGTTTTTTATTATTTTTTACTTTATTTTTTATTATTATATCTACGTGACTTTACCGAAGGAACCAAATAATATGAATTCCTGCAGTCATGAAAGTTAAATAAAAATTTACATTTTACGTAATTTAACAGAAAAAATATGGTTTTATATAACTTACTGCCAGTGTTATTTTTCCCAATATTTCTTCTGGGATGACATCGTCTGATGTGCAATACACAAATTTGTAGAACTTGTCAAACGAGGTAGACATGAGTTCCATGCAGATCCAGCAGTCTCCCTGAAGAAGAAATAATAACTTAAATACCATACATTCATCACAATAACTTCCCGTATTATTCGTTGATAGGAAAGTGGTGCAGTGGTTGGCATCCTGCCCAATTACTGGCAACATGAGTTCAATTCACGCCTTAGGATAATATCAGTGGCAAGTGGTATCTAGTGGTTCTGGGCATGTCCATCACCTTCACCAAACCACACAGTCAAGTATGGTCAAACAACCCCATGGCCAGCACTGTGGGAAAGGCCTTCACCCACCAATGGATCAACAAAGGGCTGTGAATTATGCATTAGTTTGTATTAAATAGCACAAAATGCATCCCCAAGATGTGAAAACGCTGACATACATTGAAATCATGTAGATATAAACAGAACCAGTTTACCTCTCTGAACAGTGCTCCAAAGAATTGTACGATGTAAGGGCAATCGCTGCTCATGACAACATCCAAATCCATCAGCAGTTGTTTCTGCTCTTTCTCATCCACCGTCGATCTGATTCGCTTCAAATGAGAAACAGCAAACTGGAAATTTAGGACTATACATTTTTGTTACATTTTTTACGTAGCTTGAGATGTTTAGATAAACATTTTAAAGCATGTGAATCATTAACCAGTCATGCAATAAACAACATTAAAAACACAACTTGAAAGTTAAACAGTGTAACTATCCTACATGTAATTTTATTGAAATTTTTAAAATGGTTTGAAAAAAGTTGCATGTTCCAGAGCCACATACAACTTTAAATGCAAATTCTTGCAGCCAACATTCTTAAAAGAACATTGTTTATGCATGATGGCTGCATGTACAATGACACCACGCTGTTAACAACACAGCTAGAGGCAAAAGCGGGGAAACAATAATATAAAAAAAAGAAAAATCTGTAACACAACTCACCTTTACAGCCATGATGTGGGCACTGTGGTTGTGCTGCATCTTGTTGACAGAGCCATATGCTCCCCGGCCAATTTCACCGAGATCTTTGAGGTCATCCGCAGTGAAATCGTACTGCTGCCCTGGCGACAACTTCAACTTGCCTGCCGACTCCATGCTGTGTGTCCTCAGTCGCTCACTATGCAAGATGAAGAAATGCAAACATTTTAAAAAATCGCCATCTCATTCATTGAAACGACCAACAACGCAAGCGTTACAACTCTGCAAATGACCGTGAAACAGGAATTGGTAATTTTGTTAATAACAATCAAATACAATAAAGGTGTTAGTTTAGAGAAAAAAGGTAAGCAGGAAATGCATTCATGCACGAAATTATAACTTGTATAATCTATTGTTGATTCTTGACCGCATATGAATTATCCAAACATAATGCCTGCCTCGGTGGTAGAGTGGGTAGCGCGCTTGACTTGGGGACACAAGGTCGAGGAATCGGATCCTGTTTGAAACAAGAACTTCTCCATACGGGAGAACAAGGACAATAATTGATTCAGCCTTAAATGTATACAGGGAGCCTGGGGGAATTAGCCCCTCCAATCTAGCGTCACAATTACAAACATCTTTGTCAAACTCAATATTTAAAGTTCTCAAAACAGTGACATGTAGAAAGATTGTTTTGCTTTGGTTGGAAACACAAACTGAATTTCACTGGGGAAAAAGCGATGGCAATCCAAGTATGAATTTCGAGTGTGAAAATTCATATACCGAAAAGTCGTGATTTTTTATTTTATTTTCACCTACGTGACTTTACCGAAAGAACCAAAGAGTACGAATCGTTGCAGTCACGAAAACTTCAAATTATTAATTAATTTTCAGGACCCTCTAAATACCATTCCAAACCACAGGTATGTACCGCCTCTTCAAGCTATGGAACCTTCGTAGAGGCAGGCAGCCAAATACAAAAAGGCTGAGTCACATCCGTTAACAGAGTGAAATTAACAACTCGCATAAAATCTAGAAATTACAAACTGTCAAGGAACATTTCTGCATTAGTGGCACACTTCCACTGTTTGAGCGCCTTTGTTCATTCATAAATGAGGAATTTACTACATAGGCAACACATTCAATTTGTTCAAACTAGTTCATTTTTGTAGAAAGCACTTATTCATTACCGTATATAGTGCAGACAATGCAGCATATTTGATTGTGAAATATAATTTTAAACAAACAGATCTCATTCTACCAATCTTAGGACACATAATATTGTATACATTTAATATTCATTAAATTAGAATCAAGATAAAAGTATGTAGCTCACATGTGAGGGTTATTGGGAACCACTTGCTGAGGATTGAATATAATCTTTGGTGCAGCTTTGCAGGATGGAGGGTTTGCGAAGTTGAGCTTGAGAGCCTTTCTTTTTGCTGTTGGGAAAAGAAAAGAAATGTTAACAATATACTGAATATGAATACAATTTACAATTTTAATATAATTTTAATTCGTTAAACATCTACATGTGACCACATCCAGACATGATCAGAATGCATATCATTATTCTGCTTTACAAAGTCATATAACTATTGCGCAGATTTTAAATGGGAAAAAGACCGATTCATTTTGTTATATTCAACACAGCATCAATTGGTAAATACGGTTAGTAACATTCATGCCTGCCAAAGAGAAAGCATTCTTTGGACCACTTCCTGAAATGAAAATCATCCCAGCCCTGGGATGCATTTCAGACATTTCTTTGGATATCAAAAACATCAAATAAACATCCATTGGCATCTATGCAGTACACAGTATTCAATCTCATTGCTGATTGCATACAGGACCTATTTACATAAATATACATTGTGTAAGCTTCCATAAATGTGTAAAAACATTTCACAGATAAATGTAATGATAATATAAAGTTAACGCCATGTATCCTGCATATCATTATTTTATTATTTCCCTTCTACGTGACTTTACCGAAAGAACCAATAATATGAATCCCTGCAGTCACGAAAGCTTTAAATCAAAACATATTTAAGTTGTTTAGATAAAAAAAATAGTGAGTGACTTTGATATTCCGACAGTAAATATCACTGTTAAAGCAGTATTCCAGACCAGAGTATGTTTTTAATCATAAATATGATTTAAAAACAGCATTTAAAGCCCCAAGCATTACACTTTGTCATTGGCATCTTAAATTAAGCACATACAAGTCAAGGCAAACAAAACAACTTAAAACGCCAAAGTATTGTAATTTATCTTATAACAACAGATAAACAGGTAATGTACACCAACTCTACACATTTGTGCACGTTTCGTCTGCTTTAGTTGCCGCTGCACGGTGGGAATTTGTCACTGTATGGAACGGACAATCACACGGGTTTTCAGTTGAAACGACATATCAGCTGGAGCAGCATTTCACCTAAAAGAATGGTTTGCTCACATTACATCGGTGATCACGAAAACGGCCATATCTTCAGCAAGAACAAATATGTACCGTATATTCGTAACCCAAATTAGGTATTGGAATACTAATTTCATACCTACAAATCTTGAGTTATATAAATTTATAGTTTTATGGCTGTACAGTAATTGAATGACTGCACTTAGTCTTCGTGTAAACCTATTTTTGGATGCTAAATTTAACTCCACTATATTAAAGGAAAACGAGTGATTAAATCCACGTGTATGCAAGTATAAACGTGCAAATACAGTACAAGTAATTGTTACATTTTTATATTCACACCGAGCTCAATGTTATACAAATGTGAACACAATTTGAATATAATACGATAACACCACGTAATTAAAACGACATATGTACCAATACATTCCACATTAATATCGAGTACAAAACATTGAGTACAATCATCCCATTATGCCAAGGTTACGGTAAATAAAATCCCATTCAACCGAGGTCAGAGTATGCATTTGCAAAGTACCATACTCTATTTCATACTTCCATACACGCGTATTTTTAGGTAACATTGCGGTATCAACCAGAATGTAATTTGTATTGGTTGGTGATGCAGGGCAGTAATTCTATAGTTTATTTGTTACTACCTTTGATTCCGTCATCTCCACCACTTGTGAGAGAACAGAAACCTGCATTCAAGCACAAACAGGTTTATAATACAAATTGTAAAAAGTCAATTTATATTTTACATAACCGATGCAAACATCTCCGATACATGATGTGCACAAGCTTAAGTTATAGTAGTGCATTGATGTCCACTTTAGGCTGATAGTTTGGAATTATATGCTGTGTATAATCATATTGAAGAAGCACAAGCAGATGCATTTATTTAATAAAACATCTATGATCAATTATACAACTATTGTAGATTAATTTATGTTTTGAACTTTTTAATAGAATTTAAAACAAATCCCAGCCATTCATTCATATTGGCCATGGGGTTCTTTGACCATACTTCTCCAGGCTGGTCAGTGCAGCTTGGTGGGGGGAAAGGACACGACCGGTTCTGATATCACTTACCACTGATGTTACCTGTGGCTGAGAATTGGACTTAGGTTACCAGGTTCATAATGGAGAACACTAACCATCTACCACTGTTCCACAGCAATTTTTTCAAAATATAGTAATGTATACAAATGCCATTAGAGCGCAAACATATACAAACAATATGAAATGTCCAAAGCTGCCAAAAATCTTTATTTTTGAAAGAATAAACAGCCTACATAAAATATAATCAGAAATCATGCCCAAATACAAGCAACAGAGCATGTTGCAATCAGGAAATTAAAATGGTGTCATTATATTCAAATAAAACAACTCGGTAAAGGATGTTGTGATATTTGTCAAGTTCACCGCAGACAGAAACGCCTACTCTGCAAACTCTACAGATATATTTGAAGATTACAACAGGTATATCACACTACTGTACTCATTTTATATTCATAGTTGACATAAAATCTCTTGCTGTGGATTTCACACCTGACGATTGCTTGTGTTGCAGTCGAAACGTCCTGAGAATTTTATTGTTTTATATTTGTATTATTTTATTGTTTCCCTTCTACGTGACTTTACCGAAAGAACCAAGAATATGAATCCCTACAGTCACGAAAGCTTTCAATCAAAAGTTGACATTTTATTTGATGCAATTAATTCAGAAACCGTTTAATTTTGTACGTTCGGTTCACTTGCCACATATGCAGCTGAATTTTAGTTTTTACTCCTTGTTATGTTCACGACTGTACTTTCACAATTTTACAATCGACTGGCCGGTTCAAAGGTCACACCTTCTAGGGTCCAAGGTTCAGCCGTTTGAACCCTGCTTTTCACCATAGAAATGTCTTTTTCCCATTTTTGAAATACTGTATTATAAAAAATGAAACTGAATATCAGATGACATTGTTAAAACAAAACTGTTAACTCCTAGTTTGGCTACCGAATGGAGTAACCAACACGGTAATAACTGACAAAAATACAATTTACTAACACACCTTGCCCGATGGTAAATATATGTGGGAAACTGCGGTGTTTCTAAAGCTTACTACTTTCCATCTGTTCATGAGTCACCCCCTTATAACTATCCTGTAATACCTGCAATCTTTCAGTTGCATAGCGTACCATTCACACCACAAGATTAACTTTACAAGATTTCAAAAATACAAAAGTAAAAAGGTTGAGGGATAATAATTGACATTCAACTGTCAAAAGTATTTCCTGTCAGCTACATTGAATACCAGTTCCAATTTGAATACTAATTTCAGGGGACATCAACTTTGGTATAAATAAACTGTCAATTTTTATTCGTCAATATGTTATATAAGATGAATGTGTGACCTACTTTAGAATAGCTAGCAGCATGTGCTTAAATGTAACATTACAGGTCACATAGGATGCAGAGGCGTTTGTTATATTGGCGAGGGATAAGGATATTTACACAATATATATTAAACAAGATTGAATGCGGTCTGAAATTCCCAAGGACATGAAATCTAGAATAACAATAGATGCAATATAAAATGGCTCTCCATGGTATGGCCAGAACATAAAGCAAAATATAATTTACGATAAACATAATACAAGAGGCTCACAATTACAGGAAATCGTGACAACTGAAATGGAGCCAGACTTTCAGATTACAGTATTGGCTGTATGTATGCAACAAAAACGTATGCATAACAATTTTGATCTCCATTCAATGTACTTAAATTTTTTCAAAATAGGAAGAGTAGGTACATTTTAAATATTTGCATGGTCCAAGTAGTTTTTTTTTTTAATCGTTGTCCATGGCTGGTTTGACTGCACTGATGGCGCAGTGAAAATATGCAGCTGTGTGTCCCTGCGATGTGGGTTGTTTTGTTCGTCCGCAGTCGTGTGTCGAATCTTGTCGCACCTTGGTCATAAAACTATACGTACGTATGTTAAACTTCTTTCGCACCGTACGTAGCCAATCATGCTAATCGGAGGTGCGGGAAATTTGAGTAATTAAGCAACTAAATGGATGACCATTGCAACGTTTTGCTCATCATACGGCCTACGCGTGGTAATGCACCAAAACCCATTGGTGCATATTTAAGTTGACGAAAGTGATGAATAGATGAAGGAAAGGTGGAAAACGTTTTAGCAATATAAATCCAGTAGCCTCTTTTCAATGCGAAGGGATTAAATAAAGACTTTGAATTGCACATTAATTATAATGAAGATTACAATCCACAGGCGCTGCCGTCAAGGCAAGCGGCGGATTACAAATGTAATAATCCACTCCGAGCTCAAGAAATCCCGAGTTTATTTTCGCAGACTTCAGGATCGGTTCCCGAAAGGCAAATGGATATAATCCGCACATTGCAAGACTTCGCGAATTATTGGACGGCAGATTGTTTTTGTTTGGAGTTCCGCTGTAAGAGTACAACTATTGCGAAATATGGTTAAAAAAAACGTTTTTTTTTTACCGTGAATCGACTGGAATCAATACATTTAAACTAACATTACAATAAATACACTGTAGTAGTATATTCTAATAAGGATATTGTAGGAAAATTACATTTCAATACGATGTAGCACCATTTTAGAAATAATATTGGTATAACATTGTGGTAGGGCTAGAAGTACAATACATATATTGTGGTAAAATATTATAATTACAAGTATAACCCATGTAGTAGTAAATTCCAGTTATATATAATTCAGTATCCAGTAAAGACTGCTGCAGCAAAGATATTTACGTAATATTGTAGAAAAAAAGACCAATTCTATTGTTGTAAACACTAACGAAAACATTGTGGTAAAGACATTGTAGATACGCGATTGCATAAAGGATAGTGAACATACGATCTGCTATAGTAGGCATAAGTCTACCGCGATTGGGATGTGATAAAGCTGCTATATTAAACATGCTGTACATTACAATAAGGTTATTGTAATTCAGTACTGTATTGTATAGAGTAAAAATGTTGTATAACAGCTATATTATATCACAGTACAGACAAAGTAAGCCTATTGTAGCAATTGTATGCAGGGAACTGCATTGTACAGAAGCGCTATAGTAAAATTGCCGTATACCAGGATAGATACGATACACATAAGCGTCACATATACTGAAGCGAACATTGTAATCGTGAAATAGACATTAATCTCGACACTGTCCTTAAGCTAATTGTATCCAGGATACTGTAATGTACAGTATAGTCATTGTCGAAAAACGACAAAGGATATAGCAAAATACATTAATCTAACGGAGTAACTTGTTGTAACGAACGCACTGCGGTGAAAACATCACAGTCAAACTAATGCAGCGATGGAGAGACAACATCTGTCAAGACCCAATGCTGCGGCCCCTCCGTTGCCCAGCGGAAGGCGACGCTCCCCACGGCAGAGGAAATAGGCGACGCCGTAAAAAGCCTTGGGCCTTGCCCCGGCCATTGATGGTGGAGGGGGGAGGCCCTCCGCTTCCCGAACCGAAACTAGGCGGGCGTTTAGGAATAAATGACCACAACTGCGACACCTCCACCTGCTCGCGAGCGTGGAGAAGAGAGCGGTGTGTGTGTGTGTGGTGGGAGTGTTTGTTTTGTTACCGGGGAAGCTGGTGCTGCTGTGCTGCGAGGCGCTGCCTGGGTTCGGCGTCGCCATTTGTGTGAGGAAGGGGTAGGGGGTGAGGTGGGGGCGGTGATGGGGGGTGAGGTGGGGGGTGGTGGGGGGGGGCAGTGATGGGGGGGTGAGGTGGGGGGGGCGGTGGGGGGGGGCAGTGATGGGTGGGGGCGGTGATGGGGGGGTGAGGTGGGGGGTGGTGGGGGGGGGCGGTGATGGGGGGGTGAGGTGGGGGGGGGGCGGTGGGGGGGGGCAGTGATGGGTGGGGGCGGTGATGGGGGGGTGAGGTGGGGGGTGGTGGGGGGGGGCGGTGATGGGGGGGTGAGGTGGGGGGGGGCGGTGGGGGGGGGCAGTGATGGGTGGGGGCGGTGATGGGGGGGTGAGGTGGGGGCGGTGATGGGGGGTGAGGTGGGGGCGGTGATGGGGGGGTGAGGTGGGGGGGGCGGTGGGGGGGGGCAGTGATGGGTGGGGGCGGTGATGGGGGGGTGAGGTGGGGGCGGTGATGGGGGGGTGAGGTGGGGGCGGTGATGGGGAGTGAGGTGGGGGGTGGTGGGGGGGGGCGGTGATGGGGGGGTGAGGTGGGGGGGGGGCGGTGGGGGGGGGCAGTGATGGGTGGGGGCGGTGATGGGGGGGTGAGGTGGGGGGGGCGGTAATGGGGGGGTGAGGTGGGGGGGGCGGTGGGGGGGTGAGGTGGGGGATGAGGTGGGGGGGGTAGATGAGAAGGGATGTGGTTGGGGGGGAATGAAGCGTGATGAGGTGGGGGGTGAGGTGGAGGGGGGGGGGTGATGAGGGGGGGTGATGAGGTGGAGGTGATGAGGTGGAGATGATGAGGTGGAGATGAGGTGGGGGGGGTGATGAGGTGGGGGGGGTGATGAGGTGGGGGGGGAGTGATGAGGTGGGGGGGGGGGTGATGAGGGGTGAGGTGGGGGGGATGAGGTGGTGGGGGGGATGAGGTGGTGGGGGGTGCGGGGTAGATGAGAAGAGATGTGGTTGGGGGGAGGATGACGCGGGGTGAGGTGGAGTGATGTGGGGGGGGAGATGATGAGGTGGGGGGGGTGAAGGAGGGTGGGGGATGAAGGAGGGGGGGGGGGTGAGGAGCGGGGGGGCGTTAGGGGGTTGCCCGACTTCAGGCCCAGGCGTCACGCGCGCAGCGTTCGGGCGTCGCGAGGTTTTTTTCTCTCTCCCGTAATTTTAATCATTTCACAACAAATACATTTAACGGCAACGGGGAGGGAGGTGGGGGGATGGAGAAAAAAATATGTACACGGATACCCTTTAAAACAAAAAAAATATCAGTTTAACTATCTGTAAACAACAACAAAAATATATGTATTTGTTTAAAACTGGAGTTTGTAAAAAATTGCGAACTGTAACCGGACGAGGAAGAGGGAGCGGCTGAGTGGTGGCGGTGGGGGGCGCTTAGATTTCCCACTCCGCTTGCGTGCGCAGCCTGCACTGACGTATCATTACCGTATTGTACCGAGTCAGAGGTACTCTGAATAGTAAGACCCACTGACGTATCATTACCGTATTGTACCGAGTCAGAGGTACTCTGAATAGTAAGACCCACTGACGTATCATTACCGTATTCTACCGAGTAAGAGGTACGCTGAATAGTAAGACCCACTGACGTATCATTACCGTATTGTACCGAGTAAGAGGTACGCTGAATAGTAAGACCCACTGACGTATCATTACCGTATTGTACCGAGTAAGAGGTACTCTGAATAATAAGACCAACTGACGTATTATTACCGTATTGTACCGAGTAAAAGGTACTCTGAATAATAAGACCCACTGACGTATTATTACCGTATTGTACCGAGTAAGAGGTACGCTGAATAATAAGACCCACTGACGTATTATTACCGTATTGTACCGAGTAAGAGGTACGCTGAATAGTAAGACCCACTGACGTATCATTACCGTATTCTACCGAGTAAGAGGTACGCTGAATAGTAAGACCCACTGACGTATTATTACCGTATTGTACCGAGTAAGAGGTACGCTGAATAATAAGACCCACTGACGTATTATTACCATATTGTACCGAGTAAGAGGTACGCTGAATAATAAGACCCACTGACGTATTATTACCGTATTGTACCGAGTAAGAGGTACTCTGAATAGAAGACCCACTGATGTATTATTACCGTATTATATCAAGTAAATTAAGAGTAGTTAAACGCATCCCAAAACTCGCTGCAAAATGACTGCAATATCAATACAATATCATATTCTTGGTTCAATCTTAATTTGGAGCTTTCGTGACTGCAGGAATTACCAAAGAGTATATTCTTGGTTCTTTCGGTAAAGTCACGTAGATGGGAAATAATAAAATAATATAAATACAAAACTATAAAAATGCATATTTATTTTATTTTATTATTTCCCTTCTACGTGACTTTACCCAAAGAACCAAGAATATGAATCCCTACAGTCACGAAAGCTTTACATCAAAATTCAATACAATATCGTCACGCAGCTACTTGGATTACGAGCCACCGATTATTTTTTTACCATATTCTCTAGATGTCAATAAATTCACAGATTATAAGACCTCCCCCCCCATAGTTTGCATTACGTTACATAAGAAAACTGTCGAGATTATCCCGAGCATACTGTATTTGCCGTCGTTCCACAACACAGAACACAAGCACGTTTGTATTTCGCAACTAGCTGTACTACCCGGCTTCGCCCGGGACTTGTATCCACCACGGCCGGCCGCCTTTGTCTCCCCAGTGGCAATGTTAATACGCCACACCAGTTACTCGTTTTGCGGCTGAGTCCCTCCCTCACCACTCTCCCTCCCTCGCCACTCTCCCTCCCTCACCACTCTCCCTCCCTCACCACTCTCCCTCCCTCACCACTCTCCCTCCCTCACCACATACACAATACACACAGACATACATGCAGACACACAGAGACACACATAACACACAAACATACACACACATACACAGAAACACATACACACATACATACACACACACATACATACACACATGCATGCGGACACACAGACATACACATAAACATATACACACATTCACATGACCCGGCTTCGCCCGGGACTTGGATCCACCACGCCCTTTGTCTCCCCAGTGCCGATGTTAATACGCCACACCAGTTACTCGTTTGAGGCTGAGTCGACCTAGGGGAGGTTCAAATAATCGTCACCGGTGGTGGCCGTGAGCGGGAATCGAACTCGGTTCGCTGGGTTGGTAGCGCAGCGTAGCGTTAAGCACTACACCCACCGCTCCTCACACACCACACACGCACAGACACACACACAGACACACACACAGACACACGCAGACACACACAGACAGAGACACACACACAGATAGCTCGCTAACCACTGCACTACCGCTCCCCACACACCACACACGCACACACACAGACACACACACAGACACAGACACACACACACAGACACAGGCAACACGCTAAGCACTACACTACCGTTCCCCCTACACAACACACGCGCGCGCGTCCATAGGTACACATACACGCGCTTGCTGCAGACACACACGACTTTCAGGGTGCGTACGGCAGTAAACGACTGAAATAATAAAGCGGCAATGCTGCGCAAGGAACGCCTTAGACCTGCAACACATTTGTGTAATGCGAGCGTAAACACACAAACACATGCAAACACATACACAATACACACACACATACATGCAGACACACAGACAGACACATAACACACATACATACACACACATACATACACAGAAACACATACACACACATACATAGACACACACATACATACACACAAGCACATGCACACACGTACATACACACATACATACAGACACGCAGACATACACATAAAGACATAGAAAAAAACCCACATACATACACACACACACAAACACATACACATACATACACACATACATAGAGACACACAGACATACACATAAACACATACACATGACCCGGCTTCGCCCGGGACTTGGATCCACGATGCCCGGCCGCCTTTGTCTCCCCAGTGACGATGTTCACACACGACAGCAGTTACGCGTTTGAGGCTGAGTGGACCTAGGGGAGGGCCAGGTCCGTTTCAAATAATCGTCAGCGGTGGTGGGCGTGAGTTGGAATGGAACTGGGGTCGCTCAACCAGCTTAATGACTATTTGTACAAAGAACATATAAAGAATCGATTATAATAACCAGGCTACAGTCCACATTATAGACTGCCAGTACACGCAGTCAGCTTCATAAGCAGGCTAGAGTGTACATGATAGAGTGGCAGTACGCTCACCGAGCTTAATAAGCAGGCTACAGTCTACATGATAGACTGGCAGTACGCTGACCCAGCTTAATGACTATTTGTACAGTGAACATTTAAGTAATCGATGTTTGGCGCGTTGGGTTTAAAAGTAATATTAATTGCACACATTGTGGTGGGGGTGGAGTGAAGAGTAGGAAAAACTTTGATGAATTTACCTCAGAGTGGCGTGGTGGGTGTCGAGGCCTAGTAGCGTGCAGAGCCTCTGACCTGGCCTAAATTGCCCACCCGGCAGAGGCAGGGTACGGGTGGCGTGCCTTCCCCCCCCCCCTCAGCGCGCCAACAACACTGTGTAATGGCTATTATTTAATTATTTACGGAGCCTATGAAAGTGGCGAAGGCGTGGCTAGCCGTTGGCAGGGGCAACCGCCGTCCAATGAAACTGCAGCCCTTGGCGAAGGCGTGGCTAGCCGTTGCCAGGTCCAATGAAAGCGGCGAAGGCGTCGCTATCCGTTGCCAGGGGCAACCGCCGTCCAATGAAAGTGCGTATGGTCCGAAATCCACACACACACACAGACGGACAGACAGACATGCACGATTTTATATTTCGCAATGCAAATGCTGTTGACAAAATAACCTCGTGGGCCCTTTCTTCCTGTTTCTGGCTTTTAGCTGGCCACTGAGCATTTGACACTGAAGAACAATCAAGTTGGAGGGGGGGGGGGAGGTGGCATTCTTGTCCAGCATTTAATTTGAATGTAAATTTTGTAATAGACTCATCTATACAACTGTCAAGCAGTGTCGACTGACCCAAAATATGCACGATATATTTTAAAGCCAT